ACAGACGTGGCTTTGTCCTTGTCGGTTTAGTCAGCTTGAGGGGGAGTCAGAAGTTCAGTTTCATACTGGATTTCCTGTAAGTAACCAGTCCAGTCTAGGCATCATGCAGTGCTTACCTTGATTTTTGGTCATCTTTTAAGTTAATGCCCCAAAAAAAAGCATTTAAGAAAAAGTGTGGGCTGCCCTTCTTGTCCCATTTCCAGGAAAATGAGTGTAGGGGAAGCGTCCCTGTTTTGGTCTGGTAGTCCAGAACCATCTACAAATGCACATGACACAACTTTTGAAGAACATGTGCAGCTTCTAGAAGTTCTCCATTCCCCTCAGAACTATGGTTCTTGTCAGTGTGAATGGTATGCTGAGCAATGGCGAGATCTAGCCCCCTACCCTTCCCTGTTGCTCCTGTTTCTTGCTGGTTTGTCTGGCCAGCAGTCACACTAAGCAGAGAGGGTGGACTCAGAGCCACCTCATAGCAGGGAGGGCTGAAGAGCCGAGAAGGAGGCTCCGCACTTATGAAAGGTGAGGTTTCCATGGGAAACAAGGTTTGGGGGAAGCAGGTCAGTTTGGAAAGAGGTTATGTGCTCTAACTTGAGAGGTGAAACAGCTACTTCATGTCTGATTCCTTCTAGCATGTGTACACACATACACACACTCATACATAGACACACTTACATACACTCACGGACATTCCCTGACACAATAATCACACCCACCCACACATACTCACATGTTCACACACACTCACATACACTCACTGATATGCTCTCACAAAACAATCACATACACCCACACACACTCATGGACATGTCATGACACACCAGTTGCAAACCCCCCCCCACTCACATGTTCACACACATTCACATACACTCACGTACATTCCCTGACACAACAATTACATACACCCACAGATACTCACATGTTCACACACATACACTCACTGACATGCTCTGACACAACAATCACATACACCCACACACAGTCACATGTTCACACATGCTCACATACTCTCATGGACATGCCGTGGCACAACTATCACACACACCCACACACACTCACACTCACGGACATGCCCTGACACAACAATCACACACACCCTCACACTCACATACACTCACAGACATGCCCTGACACAATAATCACATACACCCACACACAGTCACGTGTTCACAGACACACTCATTGACATGCTCTGATACAACAATCACATAACCCACACTCATATATACTCATCCACATGCTCTTACATGCAAAGTGACATATATATACTCATAAACACTATCATATGTGCCACATAATCACATATGCATGCCCTCAAATATGCTCACTCAGATGCACACACAGATCTGTGCTCACACACAGACATACACTGTCATATATGCCATGCAGTCATATATACCAATGTTTTCCCCTCACATGCACTCACCCACTCACACAGACACACCCACATATACTCATACAGTCTCACACATTCACACATTCTCTGTCTCACATACACATATACCTACATCCCAGAGAAAAGGTCTCATGGATGTCTCATGACTGAACACTGCTCCCAATTCCTGAAAGGTGCTGGGGAATTACTCAACAGAGAGAATCATGCCTCATGAAGGATTTTTCTAAATCTGAAAGGCTTATCGAGACTAAATCAGGGCAGAAAGAATTAATAGTTATGAGCCCATTTCCCTCAAAATGGATTTATTAGCAAGCTTGCCAGCTTCCTGAAAGCATGACCTCCTTCCTCTGGCTGGAGGGAAATGACTTTTAAAAACACTTACGCATGAAGATGACTGGGGCTTGACTGGTCTTCCATTAGTAGCTGCGTTGTTGGATTCCTGGATGGTGAGCTCACAGGCTGCAGAACGTGAGAGGAGAGGGAGCCTCCAGGGAGAGGCAGCCTTTCATGCAGACCCTGCTCCTTTTGCCCATAGACTGACCTCTTCTTGTTAACCTGGACCCAGGTGTGGGGCTAGCAGGGTGAGCTGGCACACAGATAACAGTGTCAGACTCTGTTTCTTCTCAAATCAGTTTTCACTTTCTCTGCGTGAGCCTCTGTGGGTCCCATTAAGGGCCTGGCTGGTGTTAGGAGCAGCAACGTTATCCTTCTCACAAAGCAGATGCAGCCCGAAAAGGGAATGTGGTCAGATGGGCTGGAACATCTCTTGACTAGAAGGAGATTTACAGATGGACACATGTACACTCCTGACCAGGAGGAAACTTACAGATGGACATGTGGACACTCCTGACTGGGAAGAGACTTGCATATGGACATGTGGACACTCCTGACCGGGAAGAGACTTACAGACAGACATGTGGATGCTTCTGACCAGGAGGAGACATACAGATGGACATCAGAAGGAGGTTTACAGATGGATATATGAACACTTCTGACCAGGAGGAACCTGTAGACAGATGTGTGGGTCTGGGACACAAGTGACTGAAGCTGAAATCGAAGATCCTGAAATCCCTTCAGTAGTTCAAAACTCAGTCCCCAATCTCTCTCTTCTTTTCTTTTCAGTCGAGATGCCCGGGTAAATAGGAGTCCCCTGGTGAGATAGGAGGTCCTGGATAATGCAAATGGTTAAGCACCTGGCTGCTAACCTTAAGACTGGTGCTTCAAGGTGACCTAGAGGTGTCTTGGTAGACATGCCTATTGACCTGCCTTTGAAAGGTCATAGCCATTGAATCCCTACAGAGCACAATTCTACTCTGCCACACATGGGGTTTCCATGAGTCAGAACCAACTCCACAGCAACAGGAGGAATTCCCATGTGTGCCAACCCCCAGTCCTCTCACAGGGCTGGGGCCCATAGTCAATATATAACATCTACCGCATACATGACAACCTTTACAAAGAGACAGCGGAGGATTCAAAGCTCCCATTTGCACACACCCTGCCTGCCAGTGGAGTCCTTGGGCTTTTCCAGAGCTGTGTCTGAAGATTCTGGGTGGTCAGAGTAAGTGTGTACAACATTGGGGAGGGTATGAAGTAAGGTCACATCCATGGACATAGTCTATCCTTGTCATCATACTGATGGGCAAAACCCACTCCAAACTCATTACCATAGAGCAAATTCTGACCCTATAGGACAGATAAGATGTGCCCGTCGGGTTCCCAGGGCTGTAAATCTTGACAGAAGCAGAGTGCCTTGTCTTTCTCCCACAGAGAGGCTGGTGGGTTAGGAGCTGAGCACTGAGCCATTTGTGCCATCAGGGCTGCTGCCCTGTTCTTGTTAATGTTGATTGGTTCTGTGAAGTCTGTTCTGACTCATAGTGACAGTGTGCACAACAGAACCAAACACTTTAGTCCTGCACCTTCCTCACAATCATTGCCATGCTTGAGCCCACGGGTGCAGTCACTGTGCCAATCCATCTCATTAAGGGGCTTCTTTCTCACGGACCCTCCACTTTACCAAGCATGATGTCCTTCTCCAAGGACTGGTCCCGCTTCATAATATGTCCAATGTATGTGCAATGAAGTCTCTACCTCCTCACTTTGAGGGAGCATTCTGACTGCATTTTTTCCAACACAAATGTGTTTGTTCTCCTAGTAGTCCATATTACTTTCAATAGTCTCCATCAACACTGTAATTCAAATGCATGAAATCTGAGGAGAGTAGAAGAAAGCTGTCTGTGATGGGAGAAGTCTTCTCTCAGAGGCTGCATGTTGATGGTCAAATGTAGATTATGCCCAGCACCCTGTGAGGCAGGGAGAGACTCCCTGGCCTACCTTGGTCCAGGAAGGACCATTGGTAGCAAAAGGACAGGCTGGGCATATGAATCAGGCCTATGGGAGCCTGTGAATCTATCTTGGGGACAGATGGACATGGGGTTATGTGAACAAACTGACTGAGCTAGAGGCATTTGAAAATCTGTGCTGAATGACCTTTCCCTTCAATGTGGTTGTTGTTGCTAAATGACATTGAGTCATTTCCAAAGCACAGCAACCCTGCATAGGGTTTCCAAGGAGCATCTAGTAGGTTTGAACCGCCAACGTTGTGGTTAGTAGTCCAGTGCTTATTCTAAAGTACCACATCAAGAGCCTGTCAATGCAGCAGTCCACACACAATTTACTAATCCATCTCAATGACAAGACCTCCCCATCTATGAAATACTGACAGCTACGCTTGTCTTTTACTTGTATGCAGCTCAGGTGACCTAAGCATTGGGCTGCTAACTGCAGCGTTGGTGGTTCAAATCCATAAAACTTTGTAGGCTTAGAAATCCTACTTTGTCCTATATGTTGTCATGAGTCAGGATGGGCTCAATGGCAGTAATTTGGTTTTTCACTCTTATGTGCCCCACCCACCTTTTCCAAACACACAGGCTCTCTGTGAATTCATCTGTATGGGATTTCCTTAGACTCAAACTGCTAAAATTATAGCCACCTCTACCACTGCATTATGTTGTGTGTGATAGTTCACATTCTTCATCTCATGATGCTCCCACACACTGATGAAGTCATCACATTCTCCCCATATTCCAGAGCTCAGTGTGAACCCTGTCTGTAGACACCAGCTGAGTGGAGGCAGAGTTCAGTGTGAACCACTGTCTGTAGACACCAGCTGAGTGGAGGCAGAGTTCAGTGTGAACCACTGTTTGGAGACCAGGTGAGTAAAGGTAGAACTAGCTGGAATCCTCACAATTAGAATCATGGTGAAGGAGGTGGGATGGCTCGTTGGCATCCCAGTATGGGGGGCATGGACTGTGGCATGTGCACTGGTGAGTTGGGCAGGGAGAGCTGTGGACTCAGAGAAGAGATTTTGCCTCATTCAATGGGGAGCAGTCTACATTCACAGAACTTTAGAGATGGTCTGCCAGCCCACTCCAAGTTACGGGCTGTGGTGGGCAACCACAAATGAGGCTTCACCAACACTGCTGTGCACCTAGTTGAACTTGGCAATAATTCTTCCAGGTGACAAGGAAGAGTGTGACTACGGATCACAGTCTTGGCATTCTGCTGAGCCTGGTTTAAAGTTGCACTTTAACCTGTGTTTGTTTTCCAGGACCAATGGCTCCTTCTACGAGATCTTGCAGGTCGACTTTGGAGTAGACAACAGCAGTGGCCTGGCCGGGGCCCAGCACATCACCTGGCAGGTGGAGTACCCGGTGGAGGACTCCATGAGCGAGCTGGTGGTTTCTGAGATTTTCATCAGCCAGACCACCTTTATTGGCATCGTCCCTCTTGTGATGGTAAGAATTCAGGGTTTCACAAAGAACAGTTGCCAAGAAGTTGTCTTTATACAGTTGTTGGTGTTATTTTTTAACTTTTTATTTTGAATTGAATGAGGGTTTACAGAGCAGATCATCTGTTTTACGTTCAACGAATCACATACTTTGTTTTATCTCAGTGATTACAATCCCCTCTCTGCAAAAACAGTGACTCCAATTCCTCCCTGTGGTTCCTGTTTCCATTCCTTTCTCCTTCCCATCCCTTCTGAACTTTGTTCTTAGGTAAATGGTACCCTTTTGGTCTTGAATAGTTGAACATTCCTTAGTGAGCATACTTTAATACCTATATGCCATTTGGCTGACAACTGAGCCATGAGAGTGAGTTCCTTTTCAGACCTGAAACGTGGACAAGGGCTATAGTATCAAGGTTCCTCTAGTCTTTTTCTGACCTGTAAGCCCGGTCTTTTTATAATGTTGAGTTTTGTTCCACATTTTCTCCCTCTTAATGTGATCCCTTTCAGAGCAATTCGTAGAGGTAGCCAGGCACCATCTAGTTCTTCTGGTCTCAGAGTGTGATGACTGATAGTCACCCACTCCATTGGTCCACTGGACTAGTTGATTGCACATCTTCAGTTTTCATCACTCTTCTTTCTTCTGCACAATGAGAGAACAAGAGTTGCTCCTTAGATGGCCACTCATGAACTTTTAAGATCCCAGTTGCAACTCACCATAGCAGGTTGTAGACCATTGTCTTTAGGAATTTTGTGATGCCAATTGACCATGTTGTCCCCTAAGACTATGGTCCTGAGCCCCCAGGTCCAGTAATGTGTTACCTCAAGTCGTTTTTGTGTTTATTCTTAATATGCAAAGAAATACAAAGCAGGTTGTAATTTGTTATTTCCTGTGTCCCTGATACAGGCACATCTCAGAGATAAAGCAGGTTTAGTTCCAGACCGCTACGATAAAGCAAATATCGCAGTAAAGCAGATCACATGTTGTTGTTGGTTTCCCAGTGCACATAAAAGTTATGCTGACACTATCCTACAGTCTATGAATGTGTTTGAAATATGAGAATGACCAAAACAGGACACTGAGACATGAAGTAAGCATATTCCATTGGGAAAAAAATGGTGCCAGAAAACTTTCCTGACCCAGGGTTGCCACAAACCTTCAGTTTGTACAAAACGCGGTATCCATGAATCACAATAAAGCAATGTACACTACAGTGCAGCACACCTGCACACATTGTTCAAGGAGAATACAGTTAACATGCATTTCATGTACTTGCTATCTATAATGGCTCTTTGAGAACTACTTAGGGTCTACTGTGTAAATCCCTTTTCATTTGTTGATATGGCTGAACTGTTTCCCGGGGAGTCCTTTTTCTCTGTCACCATCAGGACCAAGGGCCGTACTGGGAGAAGACAGTGTCAAGAGATGCATGTTGGGAAGTGTCGGGAACAGCGGCGCTATGAGCTGGCTAATGGACCCTTTGTCAACCAGCCTCACCTTATGAGTCTCCAGGTAGCTTGGAGATGGCAAACTCTAAAATGTAGATGCAATGAGAGAGCCTTATTTGGAGCCAGCAGCTGAACCTGGATAGAGTCCCAGAGTCCATAAAACCACCTTGTGTTTCTAGCTCATTGACCTGGAAGTGATCCGATTTCTCCCCTGAGTTTGCAAACCCTCCATTCATAACCAGGCTCAGAGACCATATCTGAGAATGGATCATAGATGATGTTCCAGAACCTGAGAAAAAAGGTGCTGGGTCACTTCTGGTGTGGCGCTGTAGGATCAGCACTAGACTAGAACCACAAAGTTGGCTGTTCACACCTACCAGCTGCTCCTTAGAAAAACTGTACTGGGTCGCCATGAGTTGGAATTGACTCAGTGACACTTAACAACAACAGCAGTAGGTTCCAGGGACGATAAACCTGTGAGAGTGCCACATTCCTAATTCCCTTTGTGACACACAGGAAATGTGCTGATATGTTCCATTCTGTTTGACCTTCCTGTCTGAGACCAAAGTGTGGGATCCACACCCAGATAATCTAGGGCGATCCACAGATTTTTGTCACCCACCACTCAGGTCAGGCACCAGAGTCCAGATCCTTGCAAATGAGAATCCAGCACACAACAATGAACTCTGCATCCCATATCCTTGTCCTTGGCCCTTCTCATTCCTGAAACACACTTCTCTATGCTTCTCCCATCGAGTTTCTTCTCTTCAGTCAGGATTCAGCTCAGCAGGTCCAGGATCTGCCCTGATCTCCTTCCTTGAAATAGGCTTTCTGTCCTTGTCTGTCACTCTATCCACTTCATTCCCCTATTTGATGTTTTTCAGAGATCTTATCACTGTTTGACATGAAGGGTCCATCACCTGTCTTCCTCCCTACCATCTGCCATCAATGAGGACAGGGGCCTCATCAGTTCTATTCATTTCTATGTCCCTCAATACCAAGAACAATGCCTCAAGCAGTATTTATTGAAAGACTGAATAGATCTCACTTTTATCCAAGCTACCAGGAAGGAGCAGTCCTGGAGAAGGACACCATGCTAGGGAAAGTGGAGGGCCATTATAAAAGAGGAAGACCCTTAGTGAGATGGGGTGACACAGTGGCTGCAGCAATGGGCTCAGACATGACAATGATTGTGAGGATAGTGCAGGACAGGGCAGTGTTTCATTGTTCTATATGGGGCTGCCATGTTGTATATAGAATTGGAACTGACTCAATGGCATCTAACACAGCCAGGGTCTTGGAGTCCCTGGGTGGGACAGTGATTGCGTTCAACTACTAACCAAAAGGTTGAAGGTTTGAGTCTACCCAAAGGCTCTTTGGAAGAAAGGTTTAGCAATCTGCTTCCCCAAAAACCATCTACTGACTATCCTCTGGAACACAGTTCTACTCTGACACATGAGGTCACCATGCATCAGGGTGGTCTCAAGGACAACTGTACTGAGGTTGTGTAGTTCTTGAAGGTTAGACTGATGGAGGCTGTCCATCACTCTGTGGGAAAGGACTATGCAGAGGGCTAGCGGTGAGTGGGTGTGGCCCTTTAGTCTGACAACATGCTGTCCTGCATTCATTTCTCCTCGGGGCTCTTCCCTATTATTTCAGGTCAGACTTCTGTTGGGTGATCTCTGCTCATCATCCTCTCAAGTTTTACTCTTTGCTTAATCTACCACCTCTGTTCACGGTGGGTTCTGCAGCTTCCTGATGCTGGAGATGGTGAGGTTGGGAAGGAGGCATTGAGCCCTCCTCTGATGGGCAAGCAGCAGTCCTGTGAAGTGATGTGTGTTGTCCGGCAAGAGCCTGGGACCAGGACAGGAGTATAGACCAGGGGTTGGAATAGTGCAGCCCCATGGAGCAAACCCAGCCTGCTGCCTATGTTTGTAGATGAAGTTTTCTAGGGACACAGCCATGCCCATGAGTGCCTGAATGCTGTAACAGGAGTGATGCATCGTTACCACAGAGAGTGTACCCTTAGCCCAAACTTTAGATTTAGCATCTCATGACAAGTAAAGTCATTCACATCACATGCAAGCACCATTTTGCTGAAGATACTTAAAAAATGTCTACACCTATACATCCACAGGCAACTGCCAGAAATCCAAGCCCAATTCAAAAGAAGATGTGGGATGAGAGATGTAATTGTTCGTGACAGATAGAGTTTGACTGAAAGCATAAAGTCCTGGGAACAGTTTTACCTATTTTATTAACTATGCAAAGACATTTGACTGTGTGGATCATAGCAAACTATGGCAGCATTGTGAAGAACCGGAATTCCACAAGTCTTTGTTGTGCTCACACAGAGCCTGTACTTAGAACAAGAGGCAGTTATTCAAACAGAACTTTATGGTTTAAAATCAGGAAAGGTGTGCCTCAGAGTTCTATGCCTTTCACCACACTTACTCAGTTTGTATGCTGAGCAAAGAATCCGAGAAACTGGGCCATATGAAAAATGATGTGACAGCAGGATTGGAGGAAGAGTCATTAGTAACTTGTAATATGCACATGACACAACCTTCTTTGCTGAAAGTGAACAGGGCTTGGAGCAATTGTTAATGAAGATCAAAGACCAGTATGGATTACAACTCAACATACAGAAAACAGAAATACTCACAACTGAACCAACAAAGCAACATCATGATGAATATAGAAAAGATGGAAGTTGGCAAGGATTTCATTTTATTTGCACCTACAGTCAATGCCCATGGAAGCAACTGTCAAGATAACAAATGATGGATTGCACTGGGCAAATCCACTGTGAAAAAAACACACAAATTCTTTAAAATGTTAAAACGCAAAGATGTCATTTGGAAGACTAACCCATGCCATGGTATTTCCCATATGCATGGGAAAGCTGGACAGTGGGAGTAAAAAAGTAAAGCAGAAGTGAGGCCTTTGAATTATGATGTAGAACAATGAATACACCTTGAACTGCCCGAAAACTGAAGACATCTGTCTTAGAAGACGTACAGCTAGAATTCTCCTTAAAAGTGAGGATGGCGAGATTCTGTCTCACTCAGTTGGGCATGTTATCAAGAGGCACCAATCCCTAGAGAAACCATTGTGCTTGGTAAAGTGGAAAGTCACCAAAAAAGAGGAAGAACTTCAATGAATTGAACTGACACAGTGGCGGCAGCAGTAGGTTCAAACACGCCTACCGTTATGGGGATAGCATGGGACCGAGGAACATTTCGAGCTGTAATAAATGGGTCTCTATGAGGCAGAAGTAACTCAAAGGCACCTAGCAGTAAGTAAAGGGTATGAGGCTAGGGCCTGTGAGTGGAAGCCATTATTTTATTGTTACTGGGCTTTTGGGGATATATCTTTTGTCTCCTGAGATAGCCTTTTTTTGCTGAGACCTTTGCCGCATACTGCATCTTGGATCCATCCCTTTTTGGTGAATGGAAAGCAAGAATATGAAACCGTTGGAATCTTGGAATTGAAATCACTAGGCCTTGGTATTCATTTAGGTCTAACATTTCTACTTGTAGTGGAGCAGCACTGATGGTT